AACTCAAGTTTTTTATGAATAAAAGTCAAGTGGGTCGGCTAGGAGAGTGACTTTTGAACATCCTCTCTTCTAGTCTGGCCGAACACTCTTCTCCTCTCCTTCTTCTTCTTTCTCTTTTCTTTTTTCTTTCTTCTTCTCTACTTTGACCTAGAAACAACTAGGGTTTATTCACAGTATCTTAAGAGTGAGCCCAATGCAAATGTCCTCACATTTCAATTGTTCCCAATTTGCTACATGGACTTAAAGCCTAATGCAAATGTCCTCAACCATTGGATCCCAAGAACAACGTCAATGCCGCTGAACTTCAAGGGACACAAGTCAACTTGGAAAGGTAGGTTTGTATCTTAAGAGTGAGCCCAAAGCAAATGTCCTCACATTTCAACTGTTCCCAATTTGCTACATGGGCTTAAAGGCCAAAGTGGGCTGAACCGTTAACCCCAATTGCTTAACTAACAAATATGAGATAAAATTCATTGTGCTCCCACTATGAGTTAGTATTGACATGTTGTGGCCAAATAGGATCCCACAGACTCTCATGGTCTGTGGAGAGAATAACCTAGTTAGGGCCTACTCTAGCCCCTAGCACAATTCTTAGCCCATAGTTTCCCAATCTGGGGTTGGGTCTGCATCCTCAGAGTCTGGTCCATCAATGTCAAGTAGGAAGGCTTGTTGCACTTATAGTGGTGATCATTCCATCAATGTTAACCTCTTGAAGGGTATTAGAAGCCAATTAGGGGTACGTAGGGCTTGCCTAAGATTTCATTCCCTTTGTTCAATGGCAAAGGTATGTTTGGGGGCCTTGGGGATCTAGTCACCCATTTCATCTTGTTAATTTTTTCCTCGTGCAATCTAACCGACCCAACAACAGCCAAGATAGTCGCCAGTTTCATTGCCTTAACTTCCAAATGTATTTCTTCCTTCAATCCCCCCCACCCCACCCATAAAGCACGTTCTCAAGCCAATCTTAGACCTTGGTAGCCAAGTGCTCAAGTCTATTTGGTATTCTCGTATTGTCCCATGTTGTCTCAGCTTGGACAAACTCTCATCATAATCTTCAAAGCCAAATGGTCTGAAGTGGATGTAAAATGCCTCAGTAAAATCGGACCAAGTCATTTTGGGATCAATTCGATGGTACCATTGGTGCCAAAGGATGGCTTCTCCATCCAAGTGAATAGTAGCTATAGCTGCATGATCAGGTCTGGGGGCATTGTTATACTCAAAATATCTTTCAACACAATAGATCCAAGGAATTGGATCATCACATCACTGATGAAAATGGTAAAGTCCAGTTTAGCATTCTTACTAGACCATGATCCTCTTCATTGGGCACTTTCATGGCTGGATTCCTCCTAATCCACCACCCAACCAGAGTTGTAGGACATCTGATCAAATTTGTTCACTACTGCCAACCAAGCTTCCTTAACTTCTCTGATTTCTGCCAACACCTTGTGGAGTTCCACCTCCATCTAATCAACTCTAGTCTCCATGGTCACTGCTCGTGTGTTGAGCATGAACATGGCTATGATACCAGATGTTATAGACTACCTAACTCAGTGTCTTTTTGAGGAGCCATCCGCCTGAAATAGAAGGAGGGAGGAGAGAAGGAGAAACAAGGAAAAGAGAGGGAGAGGTTCTAGATCTGAATTCTTCAATGATTCCTTATGTTACATCTCAAGAGCTTCTTTAACTAACATCTGCTGATGTGGCCTCCTACAAAATACTTGCTGAGTTGCATATGGCTTACATGAGTTCACCCTCTTGATGTTATACTGTGCTCAGGCTTAATGGGCTGAATCAGGTGGGCCCAACACCCCCCCCCCCAACATAAAAAGAATTACACACTGAAATTGCCGATCACATCTAAAGGCACTAGAACTTTAGTAGGTAAAGGAAAAAATATTAAACCACAAATTCATGATATGCATAATACAAGTATGCCAAGAGAGTGGGGGAATTACAGAATTGCAGAGACACCACGACAGTAACGCTCCCACATGCTGCGAAACCTTCGTTGCCCACCAAGATCCCAAAGCTTTATGGTTACATTTCCCTTTGTGACCTTCCGCATGTTGAACCCCACCTAATTTTCATCATCAAAAGTTTAAAAAATGGTGATAAGATACCTCAAATCATGAAAAAACAGAGCTCTGAAATTAGAATATTTTGCAAAAATGATACCTACAGTTGGAATCATGTCCTCACTGTAGCCTCCTGTCTAATGAGACAACAAACAGTTCTAGGTAAGTCAAGATAGCAATATCATTTGAAAGAGAGGAACAGGTAATAATTGTCTACTCACAGCAATGGCATTAACAAGAGATGTCTTTCCTGCATTTTGAAGGCCTATGAGGGAAAGTTCCATTTCCTGTTTGAAAAACAAGCTGATACATAAAAAGAGTCAAAAGAGAGGGAAAATATGAAACATTGAAGTAGATAAATAGGGTTTGAGTACTAAGAAAAGAACATGGAAAATCCAAATTCTGATGAAGTCAGCATATCCCCAGTTTCAGTCAAAACATACTTGCTTTAAAGATAAAGTTACACCATTTATTAATTCTTATCATTATAAGTATGACAATCTTGTGCCTTTCCACTGGTGGATATTGTCACATCAAAAATTGGATGTGCCAAAATCACTCACGTTAAGAAAGAATACTGCAGAATGGAAATAAGCAACAAAATCTTATTTGGCATTGCTAACATTATAGCAAGCTTAAAGTTTAGATAGGATATCTACATGTTAAAACTTTGACTGTTTAGTTATTACTTTATTAGGGATAAGGGACTGATGAAACAGCTCTAGACTGAAATGAGAAGTAGATAAACCTACTAAATAATTCCTACACACATGAGAACATTAATTTGTTCATGGATCATTGCCCCAATAATCATATGATCAAAGATTAATTACAAAGACTTGATGTTAACTATGCAAATCCTGTAAATGAGTAGGAAAAAAAAATACCTATTTGACTCTGGTTAACATCAAGGTTCAGTACTCTGGCATAAACAATGAATAAAGCATCAATTAACCCAATGCCTTTAAACATTATATAGAACTCTCCTACCAAAAAAAAAAAAAAAAAAGAATATAGAACTCGACACAACTCAACTGAGCCTTGATTCAAAATATTTAATATCAGCTAAACAAACCGATCCCGCCATTTTGTTCTATCAAGAACCATGTTCTCCATCAACTTGTACGAGCCTTTAAAAATCATTTAAGTTTCTAAAAATGCTTATTTGCTCATCATAACTTTTATTTAGTGATTGATGTTTCACATTTCACTGCCACAACCATTTCTGAAGTGGTGAGTCATAGGAGCAAAAGTCAGTTTGCATTCCAAATTCTCAACACCCGGCACCCATTCCAATAATGCAAACAAGAACAATCATTTAATCAGATATACGCTTCTTTTCCTTTTTCTTCTTGTTCAAATAAATTGGTAGAAAACCGAGCAATGCAATTTTAGGTTACATTTAGATGAGAATTTTGTCTCTGACATAAGCGATTTCTGGTCTTTTAACATTAATAACAACCAAGGATGAAGTACTAATCCAAAATTTTCGAAACTTTGCTTTTCTAAACATTATGAGAGATTATATTTCAGAATCTCTGGGAATTTAAGTGCTTCGACAGAAGTACGAATCCATGCAAGGCCACAGAATCGGAACTCCAAACCCCAATTGGAAGGCAAAAACACTGGAATCAAGCACGTAGGATTTACCTTCGAAGCCAGTTGAGAAAGGATTCCCAGAGCCCCATTTCGAACACTGCTACAAGCTGGGATGGCGAGACGACTCAATGGAATGAAGAAAAGTAAAAACCCTAAACTAAAAGCGAACTCTCCCCACGCACGGACAAGTGATGGGACACCGGAAACCTCGGCTCAGCGACTTGCGGAATCTTCCTTCCGTGAATGTGAACAGCTCTCACTTCGTTCGTTTTCTGGTATAAGTACAAAGAGAGATGTCAGAAGATTTAATAGTTTATAGGATGTATCTGATGTCTGTCAGTGTTAGTGAACCGCCAGTCGTGGACCGTACACGTGGAAAATATGGCCGATCCAAAAAGCAGGATTACATGAGGGTTGGCGTTTTCCATTATCGGATTGGAATCTAACGAATGTCCGGACACGATGTGGGGCCAGCAAAGGCGCAAACTGCATTTAAAAGACAGAGCGAGGACGTCGGTTAGACAAAGCAAAATGAACTGTGAAAGGAAGCAACGGTAGCGGCTGGCTTCCTTCACTTGAGATTCTTAGCGTGTAATCATGAGAAATAATTTCGCTTGCCAAAAAAAAAAAGAGAGAAATGATTTCGCTTCGAAAATGTTTGAGCTTATCCATGCGATTTATTTTGCCCTTTTTTTTACGGAAAAATGGGCTGAAAATAGGGGTGATGAATTTAAACCTGTCAATTGGGTTGGGTGGATCGGGTTTCGGTTGGGCCAAGATACTTCGGGTTGATTTCGGATTGAATTGGGTTATCAAATGTTAGACCCTAATCCTAAATGTTCGGGCTAAGGTTGACCCATGGATCAATTTGGGTTATCCTAAACAATAACTGAACTTTAAAAAAATAAAGAAAGTTACATGAAAATTGTCAAAATTAAAGGAATTAACCATGGTTTTTAAAATCAAACTGGACCGGACGGTTGAACTGGAAAAACCGGGAACTGGTCACCTGATTAGTTCCATTTTCCCCCAAAACTACTTTTTTCCTCAAAATCGTTGATTTTGGTTAGCAAACCGTTGAACTGGTCGATTAACTGTTCGAACCGTTCAAACGGTTTTGACCATTTTTTAATTTTTAATTTTTTTAATTTTTGCATTTGAATTAGTAAATAGACCCCTGACCGGTTCGATTTTAAAAACCATGGAATTAACCTTAAAATTTCAAATATAAAATAAAAAAACTTGAACAATTGTTAAGTCTAATTGGGACTATTTATGCATTGTTAGAAGTTTTTATTCTTTAATTTTTTCTATTTAGTCTTTACTCTTTAAATTGTTAAATGTCGGGTTCACGAGTTGGATCAACTTTTTGCCAGGTCTAATGATGATTGATGAGGTGTGCAATTAGACATGTAAAATGGGCCCCATAGCACGGTATGATACATCATTTATTTATTCATTTTATTATAGTATTTTTTAATTTTATTTAATTATTTTATATTTTTTGTATGAATTGATTATTCATATGCAATAAAACTTTAATTAAGATGATTTTTTCCAAATTGTTGTTGCAATCATTGCATTTGTCTTTTTTTTTCAAATTTTTATTATTTTTGAGTTTTTGATTTTTTAGTTAAAACAAAAAGAAATGAAAATGAAATAATATGGGCTGACCAACTGACCCTAAATCTCCTGTCCACGTTTATCGCAGCCACACATCCGTGGCCAAACCTCGTGTTCGGCTCCACCCGCAATCTGTAGGGGTTGTGCTGGCACGACCGCATGACCTACTACAGTGTGGGCAGCACAAAAATGTAGGTCGTGCCAGCCCAGCCCGGCCCACGTTACACTACTAGGTGCAATCAAAGTGAGCTTCAATAAGTTTAGGCTTTTCTTTTTAATTTGAATTTTTTTAATAACAAAAATGTAATTTTCTTTTAAATTTTTGAACTAAATTTGAATTCAAATATAGAAGTAATTTAGTTATATGGAGTAGGGCTGTTCACGGGTCGGGTTGGGTCAGTTTACTGAGATTTTTTCAACCGACCCGACCTGGTCGGGTTACCTGAAATTAAAACTGAAATTGACTCTATGTTAAGTAAAACCGACCTGGTCGGGTTGGGTCGGTTTTGGCTCTAAGTTCAACCATGATAATAAATTGGTAGATTGGAAAAAGAAGAATGAAATTTGATGTAAAAAATGACACATAATTCTATTAGAGAAAGAAGACTGAAATTGGTAGGGGGCGGACCAAGTTAGAATAGAAGTTATAAAGAAAATAGAAATCAAACTGTATTAGAGAAAGAAGACTGAAATTTGTATATTTCAAGAAACCTTCTAATCTAAGTAAAAAATGACACCTAATTCTAATTGTAATTGATTGCCTATTTGGTGTAAAAGACAAAAAAAACTAGGATCCTTTGATTCTTTTCTTTAAACTTTTCCAAAAAAATTCCTTGTCTAGTTGTCTTACAATACTTGCCATTAATGTTATTCCTAACTAGAAGACTAGTAATTAAGTTAGGTTGTAACTAGGATAGAGACAACTTAGTTAAGTAGGAACTAAGTAGGTTGTAACTACTAACTAGGAACTAACTACTAAGTCGGTTCGGTTCGGATCGATTTTGGTTTTCACATATGAAAATCGAAACCGACCGGTGCTAAAAAAAGCCCAACCGACTCAGGTTGGTCGGTTTGGTCGGGTTGGGTCTTCTTATGAACAGCCCTAATATGGAGTCAACTTCAACTCAGCTCGACTCGATTGCATTCCACTAATGGCAGTATTTTTGACTTGGGAAAATCTATGATGTGAAAAAAAAGTATGATACCGGAAGAACATTGGCCAATCAAAACTCTCTCATGCTTTTCAAAAAGAAAAAAGAAAAAAAAAACTATCATGAATTTTGATAAAAATCACCTACTTGTTTACCACTTTTATGATAATGATTGATCGGTTATAAGGTTTTGAAGGTATTATAGTCAAAACTTTTTTACATTTATAAAAAAAAAATCTCCTTAAACAAAATAAAAAATATACACTGATAGAGTGCAATCCGATCAGTCCTATCTGTCAACGATCTTGCCTCTGACTGGAGCAAAAAGTGCCTGAAATGGGGAAGAAAGCGAGTAGTCTCCGGGGAGGAACCCGGTGAGAGTGCTCCGAAGCTCAAGTTAGTATCTTCTCAAAGGCAAGATAAAAAACCAGATGGCGCAAAGTTATCACGTACCTCCATTCTTGGGGGGGAAGAGGGCCTTTTATAACCACTTCGCGCACTCACTTCCAAGCTCCTGTCAGGTCGGGTATCATTACCTCTGCACTTCTGCCAGTTCGGATGTCATCACCTCTACTGGGGCAGACAACCGCCACTGCTCTCTTTGTCGGAGCCGTCTCTGTAACTAGAGGTGGTGGTGGCAGGTGGCCATTGAAGTGCGGCTGTCAAGCGTCAGATCCTAAGTCAGTCAGGCGCGCCGCCTCGGGATACGGACTCCTTTGGTGTCAGGTACGGTTGTTCAGTTCGGCGGCCAGGAGATGAAGTGCCGGAGTGGTGTGCGATGTGAAGTCTTGAGTTCGGATAGAAGTGTGGCCTGAACTGCCATGGGGTGGGCCAGTTCGGGTTGTTGCCCTTTGCGCTCCTTGTAAGGCTCGGGGTCAAAGGGAGAGTTCGGGCTCCTTTTGGGGAGCTCGGACTGTGGGTTCCTCTTCTCGGAGCTCGTGCCTTGAGCGTACTGCCATGCCGAGCTGTCGCTCCTGCCAGGTCACCCTCGGTTGCTTCCACGTGTTGGGTGGCCAAGAGGTCAGGCCAAATCTTCCTCCATCAATTGCCCCCCACTCCTCGTGCTAAGGGTCTTGCCCTAACGTGGGGAGTTCGCGAGGTGACGGGTGGATTTGACCCGTACTTCAAACCGGTTGACTGATGGCATGAAGTGTGCATACGTCAGGAGATTTCCGGATTCCTCGAGCGCCAAAAAGTCAGAAAACGAGCCAATCCATCTTTAAATGTTGGGAGACGTGACGGCGGGCGTTATTTCAAATTCAAAAAGCGCACCACTGCTGCCTTCAGCGTTGGAAGATGTGCGCCGGTGCCACTTCAGTTTCCAAAGACGTGCGGCCAGTCACGTCTTGGTTTTAGGAGGCGTGCGGTCAGCTTGATCGTGAGCCATTAGATTTTCCTCGATCAGAGCCATTGGTTTTCAGTCACTGTGGGTATAAATAGTGGGGGACCCCCAGCCGCTTTCCATCGCTATTCTCCTGCGTTCGCTTCTTGAGCTCGCATCCAAGTTTTAGCTCATGTCAACCTTCCATAGTCTGTTAGTTCTTTTCCGGGTGAGTCATTACTTTCTTCCTGGTTTTCCTTTCCTCCCGATGTCTAGCTCGGACAGCTTAGACAGCTTCTTGAAGGGGTCAGATGCAGGTTCCACGAACCGAGCTACGGCCCCCGACAGCCTTAGTGAGCCCGAGGTGGAGCCCGAGGGAGAGCTCGAGGAAGAGTTTGAACCCGTAGGCTGAGTCGCCTCGGGTAGTTTGGCGTCCTCCTTCCGTCGAGGTCGGACGTTAGACAAGTTCGGGCCCTAAATCATGACGTCTGAGGGGCTTTACTCCCTTATCACCCAGTTCAACCTGCCCGGGGAGTATACTTACTTTATACCCTCGGGCGACTTCCCTTGGGAACACGGTCCGGACGAGATCGTGATATTCCGGGAGCAGCTCCACTCGAACCACTTCGGCGTCACCGTCGGTCAGCTCCACTCGAACTCTATCCGTAACCTAGTTGGGACAATCTCCCTTTGTTGCGAACACATTCTGCCTTTGGACCTAGAGATCTTCTCTTCTATTCTCATGCTTAAGAAGCAAGCGGGTCGCCTTCCCGGGCGTAGGCGGGCGTACTACCTGTCTCCTCGCCCGGAGTTCAAGCTTTTACACGATCTTCCCAACAAGGTCCCGACGTGGAAACGGGACTACTTTGTGGTACGAAGTGCAACAGGGTGGCCGTTCCAAATCGGGTGGGGGTTGGCTGCCCCTGACCCCGGTGTTACGCTAGATAGGGAGACGACGAAGGGCCTCTGGGATTGGGCCCGGCTCGGGCTAAAATGCCACCATTATCTGACGAAGGCCAAGCTCATCCAGGTCGGCCTGAGTTCGGGTAGGTTCCTCGCTCAGAGGCTTGCCTTGGTTTTGCTTTCCATTCTTTCGTTTTCCTGACGCCGAGCTCTTTTTGCAGGTGTGATGGACGCAGAAAAGACTCGCGATGGGAACCTGTTTCATGT